GATAGATAGATAGATAGATAGATAGATAGATAGATAGACAGATGATAGAACATAGATGGTAGATAGATAAATGATGAAAGATAGACAGAAAGTCAGACAGATGATAGAACATAGATGACAGATAAATAAAGATGATAGCTAGGTAGATAGAAAGACAGATGATAGAACATAGATGGCAGATAGATAAATATAGATAGATAGATAGATGATAGAGAAAAGTGTACACACACATGCCTCATCTTAATACACTATTTTTAAAAAAAATTTATTGTTTTGAGTGTGTGCACTGTCAAATCAGATCTGACTGGTACGGGAGGAGATTGTCCCTCCTTCTCCAGCAGAGCATCTGGTGGATTCAAACTTTAATACATGGTTTTTGAGAGATGTCTTGGTTTATACACAATTATACACAAAGTACAGAGAGTTTCCATCTACCCATCCCCTCTCCCACCTCTGCACACATTTCTTCTATTATTAGCATCTCGCTTTTGGGTGGTACATGTGTTGCAGTCGATGGCACAATACTGAGGCATTATTGCATAACAGAAGCCTGCAATTTTATGTGAGGGCCCGCTCTTCCTGCGGGACCGTCCTGTAGGTTTTGACCAGTGCATAACATCACACATTCACCCTTACACATTGGAGCAGCATCGTTTCACCATCCTGGAGGCAGAGAGACTTCTAGATGTGTGTGTGCTGAGCTGTGAGAGCACACGTGCTTAATGTGCCTAGCGCCTATAAAGGAATGTATCCGCTTAAATGCTTTTCTTTGTCTTTCATCTGACTTGCAGCCCGGGCTATCTATCCTTGGTGTGCATTGCCTTTTAGGCAGGCAGTTCGACTGCACCAGCTGCTCTTCGGAAGAAAGTTGGCAATCTTGCGATTTATAGCCCCTGACAAACGGCTGGAGGGTCAGCCAGGAGTCAGTTGCCCCTCAAAGGCACTGAGTTTTGGGTGTGTCTGGGGTCATTTTGCGACAGTAGACTTTCAGTGTAGTAAAATGATGGGAGCATCTTATGCAGAGGTAACACATTGATAATGAACAGCTTCAGGTTTGTGACATTCTTTCTGTTGTAATGCCTTATGATAGAGATCAAAATGCTTACCATCTTCTTTGAGGTCTTCCCCTCTCCCCACCCCACCAGTGGAACTTCCTTTTTTAGTTCTTCCTTTTATCCCAAATCACCCAAAGGTAGACTGGTTTGTGAAGGGCCAGAGCTGCTGTCAAAGTACCAAATTACATTACACTTTGTTCACCTGGAGCACAGGTAACTGATGTGTTCAGTTGCTATCAAGAATGTTAGCAATTCAAGTCTACTTTGAGGCTTTCTACCTAGGAGGAAAGGCCTGGCGATCTACTGGAAAATAAGTCATTGAAACACTCCACAAACACTCTTCTACTTTGACACCAAGAGTTGATGTTGGCTCAAGAGCATCTACTTGAACTCTGTTCGTTTTGATTCTCTGAGCCCTGACTATCATGGGAGCAGCCTGGGACTTGAGTGCCTGCTTCAATACTGACTTTCTCAGCACTTCTCCATGTATTTCCTAGACCACTCCTGTATTTCCAGTGTCTCTTCCCCAGTGTGTCTGCATCCATGGAGACTCCAGTTCTCCAGGCTCGTCCGTGTTTGCATCAGCACGTTGGTTGTCTCTGTTGTTGCTGTGTGCACCTGGAGTCCCTTCGTCTTGGGTTGCCCTGTGCTCTGTCTCCTGGGTCCCCCTGCACCTCCCTCTCCGACCCTGGAGCAGCAGGAGAGCTTCCCACCGCTGGGGACAGGTCCTCCAGCCAACTTTGGAGGAGGCGCCCTTTGAAATGCCCCATCCTGTAAACATCTATACGGTATAATAGCCCGCAGACTGGATTAAAGAAAATGCAAGTCCAGCGCTTACTTACTGTGTGAGTAAATGCTCTCTGCTGTCAGCCGTCTCCATCTCTCTCATCCTCTGGTGGGTCAGGTGACTGAACACACCTCCCAAAGACCCTTCCCAGGGTCACACAGGATTTATGACCTTTCATGTCGAAAGTCCTGCTGGCTGGCCCTGGCATCATTCTTACGTACAAAAAGCAAACTGGCTCCCAGCTACCATCACCTTGCCTGTCAGTCGTTAAAATCAGTAAACTCAATGTGGGGTAAAATGATTTCATGGTGAAAACTCAAAATTCCAAGTAAATCTTAATTATTATACATTGGAAAGGAATCCATGACTCTTCTTGTTGAGATGCCGGGCTCATGGCACTTCCTCCCTCTCTACATGGTGACTGGTCATGCTGGCCTCCAGACAGAGGGACATTCAGCTCCAGGATGCCAACCTGTCATTGGGTTTAATAATTCTATAAATGCCATAATGAGAGGGAGAAAAAGGATGTATAATTAAATAGTAAATAAGGTCCAACTCAGGAGCACTTGCTAGGTCTTCCAAAAAGCTAACATTTTCTTTTCCTATGACCTACTTTTGCTGAAAATGCCTACGTTCATTCCACAAAGCTCTGAGGCAGAGCTGCCCACACAAAAAGGCTGACGGGAACACAATCATCTAAATTTGCTCTTAGCTTCTGAAATGGTAACATTTCTAACCCCCTCAAACACTATTATAGGATTGTTGTTTCTAAATGAAGGTAGCCCCTGTGGTTCAACAGCTCAGTTACTAACAGAAAGAAAGGTTGACTCGGTAGGTGGGTCCTCCTGCCCTCAGGTCTGTAATGACTGCTGTTGTTTGCGCTGCAGTGTTGGTTCTAACACAGAGAGAGCCTTTGTGCCACAGAAACTCCACCAGCTCCGGCTCCATCCTTCTAATCTCTACTGACTTTAAAGCCGTTGTTGGTAATCACTGTGTTAGAGGGTCTTCCTCTTTGTGACTGACCCTCTCCTTTAACAAACATATGTTTCTCCTGGGACTGATCCCTGATGACATTCCCAAAATAGTTGAGATAAAATCTCACCACCACCACTTCTAAGGAACATTCTGGCTGCACCATGTCCAAGCAGATATAGTTTCTCTTTCGGCAGTTCACAGAGTATTTAAAATTCTTGGTCAATGCCACAGTTCAGAGGCATTAATTCTATCTGGAGTTGTGATCTTTCTTAGTCATCATCCAAGTTTCGTTTTTGTATGAATGCTGTGGCTTGGGTCAGACATCCTTGCCTGTTAGTCCTTTTGAAGAAGTCCTTCACAGCACGTTTGCCCAATGCAGTACATTGTTTCTTCTCTCAGCAGGGACTTCTGTGGGTGTTGATTGTGGGTCTAAGTAAAAGGAAATCCTTGACCTTTAATCACTGTTGTTCCATTTATTATGGTGTAGTTTATTGTTGAGTTGTGAGGATTTTTGTTTAACGCTGAATTGCAACCCATACAAAAGCTATATAGTCTTTGACCTTCACTAGTAAGTGTGTCAAGTCATCTTAATGATCACAGCCTAGAAAAACTGAACAAAATCCACCCTGCCCTACAGGGGTGCTGTGATTTGGAGTTAATGCATGCCAAGTGGGTGGATTTGATTTTTAAATTCCAAACAGAAAAAGGTGAGGAAATGCAGACACATCTGTATATTTCCTAAAAGTAATAGAAGCCTATCTAGTATCATTTATAATCCCAGCACTCTTTTGAAAGTATTACTATTTCTTTAAATAGCTGACCTAATTTCTACCTTTTTCCCCCCACTCTAAACATATGTCTAAATCTCCTGAAC